CACACACACACACACACACACACACACCCCACACACTGGCTCCTTTGAATTTAACCCTGCCAAATGCAAAGTCATGAAGATTGGGGAAGGGCAAAGAAACCGCAGACACAAATGGGTTAGTTTGGCCAAGACTGCAAACCTCCCTAAAGGAAAAAGACTGGGGGTAGTATAACTCCGAGCATATCTCCTGAGGCGCAAAATCAATCAATAACTGCTGCAGCATACGGGCGCCTGACAAACCAAACGGATAGCGTTCCGATACCTCAGTAAGGATTCGTTCTAGACTCTGTATACCATTTACGTGAGGCCCATACTGGAGTATGCAGCACCAGTTAGGAATCCACACCCTAGTCAAGCACGTCAAGAAATTAGAGAAAGTGCAAAGGTTGCAACAAGACTAGTCCCAAGAGCTACGGGGGATTGTCCACACGAAGAAAGGTTGAGGGAAATCGGCCTGACGACATTGGAGGACAGGAGGGTCAGGGAGACATGATAACGACATATAAAATACTGCGCGGAATAGACAAGATGGACAAAGACGGGATGTTCCAGAAAAAGGACACAGACACAAGAGGTCACAATTGGAAGTTTGAAAGACTCAGATGAATCAAAGGGATGTTAGGAAGTATTTCTTCAGTCATAGAGTAATCAGGTCGTGGAATAGCCTAGAAAGTGACGTAGTGGAGGCGGGAACCATACATAGTTTTAAGGCGAGGTATGATAAAGCTCATGGAGCAGGGAGAGAGAGGACCTAGTAGCAATCAGCGAAGAGGCGGGGCCAGGAGTTATGAATCGACCCCTGCAACCACAAATAGGTGAGTACAAATAGGTGAGTACACACACACACACACATTACAGAAAAAACTATAGACACTATGAACAAGGCGATACATTGCGAAATATATGTAAGTTGTGTGTGTGAGAGAGAAAGAGAAAGAAAGAGAGAGGTCTGATGATCCAGCTGTTGTTGAGCTTATCGTGGTTTTGCGTGACTTGAATTAAAGCCACTCATTAATACCTTCCTTCTTAGTGTGTAGCAGCCCTCTCCCACACCTTCATGTCTCCCACACCTTCACGTCTCCCACACCTTCATGTCTCCCACACCTTCATGTCTCCCACACCTTCATGTCTCCCACACATCTCTCTCTCTCCTACTCACATTTTCCAGAAGTGAGGCAGGTGTTTGAGGAAGGGACCTGGACAGGTGTCATTCACTGTTATGGAGGCAATACTGATAACCTCTACCTTTCACCATCCTAACTGTTCTTGCTGATAATAATAATAATAATAATAATAATAATAATAATAATAATAATAATGATAATTCCATTACTACCGCTACTACTAATATTGATGCGACTACTACTACTACTATTACTACTGTTACTACTGTTATTACTACTACTACTTCTCTCTCCCTGACAAGCTGACTGTGTTTTCCTACCCACGGTGTCTCTACCCCATCCTACCCCTGGGAGCCATGGACGGGGGGGGGCAGGTAAGCGAGCACCACCTCCCACCTGAAGCTCGACTCCACCTCTCACCACCTGCTATTGCAATCCTCTCCACCTGTCCCACATCTCCCTCCATCTGTCTCAGATGCTCTCCAGCAGGCCCAGATGTTCTTCCAGTAGGCCCAGATGGTCTTCCAACATATCCAGCTGGTCTTCTACCAGGCAAAACGCCATAATTCACTTGTCCCTCAAGGACGTCTGTGACTGTCAACATCAACAGCTGGTGCTTGACCGCAGGCCAGCGGCCAGGTGGTGCCAGCTTGTCCGCAGTCCTTGGCCAGTGGGATGTCTAGCCACTTGTCCCACCAACACCACAGTGACAAGTGTATATACAAGTGTATCTCTCAGTGTATATACACCGAGAGATTTGTAGCTCTCAGTGTATATACCGAGAAGTATCTTCCAGTATATATACAAAAAGAGGTGTGTATTTCTCAATGTATATACAACAAGAGGTGTGTATTTCTCATTGTATATATAATGAGAAGTGTGTGTATGTCAATGTATATACAACAAGAGGTGTGTATTTCTCATTGTATATGTAATGAGAAGTGTGTGTATCTCAATGTATATACAACAAGAGGTGTGTATCTGTGTGTATATGTACATTACAGTAGACTTCAATACTTAGTTTATGTATTACAGTATTCTTAACTGTTTGTAAACAAGGGACAAACAGCCTTGTTGACCCTCGTGTAGTACAGTAGATAGGTTTTAAACCTATTCAACCAAGGTGCCTATTCAAGGGAACTGCCTCGATGTTGGCCAAGGTAGTTTTGGTTAACATATATTAACAATAACGAAATGATAAAAGACTGGTGACCTGCGTCTGGCAGCGCTGAACGTGCACTTTCCGTGGTGTATTTTTACACGTCTGATGGATTGCTGGTCTGATTAAGCCTATTTCAAGTTTTAAATTTACTCTCTCCTAGTCTTGTAGGCCGTATCGTACCTGCTTTTAAAACTACGCATGTCTGCCTTAACCACTTCCTGGAGATCATTCCACTTTCCAACCACTCTGAGGCTGAAAAAATACTTCCTGACATCCTCTGAGGCTCATCCGTGTCTTTCATTTCCAGTCGTGTCCCTGAGTACCAGTTTCCCGCCTCACAAATAGCCTGTTTTCTCTTCCCTGTCAATTCCTATGAGTATTTTGTATGCTATTATCATATCCCCTCCTGGTTCTTCTGTCCTCTAGTGTTTATAGATTAAGTTCCGTAGCTCATGTGTTTGTGTGTGTGTATCTCTCTCTCTCTCTCTCTCTCTCTCTCTCTCTCTCTCTCTCTCTCCTCTCTCTCTCTCTCTCTCTCTCTCTCTCTCTCTCTCTCTCTCTCTCTCTCTCTCTCTCTCTCTCACTCACTCACTATATATAGTGAGTGAGAGAGAGAGAGAGAAGTGTAGCATGTTACAATGGAGAGTAATATCCTGTTCACCTTGACAGGTGTAGCCAGTTAGGTTTTACAGACTACAATATTACACAGGCAGTGAGCCAGGTAAATATCTACTCTCATTGTCACTACACTTTACTCTAACTTATACTAGTGCTTCAGATTGCTTTGGTTTACACTTCCTACCACAGGTATGCGTTTTGAACAGTATCGAAGCTTATACAGCTTCAAGGAGCTTTATAAAGCTTCTTAAAGTGTAAAGTTTGGAAACAGTTACTCTGTGACATACGTCACAGAGTAACGTACATCACAGAGTGTCCGAGAAGACAAGCTATTGACTGAGTGATGGTGACTGCGTTTTCTTCTTTGGTTCGCCGTTAAATTGATGGCAACATGGGGGACGTGGTACTAAAAAAATCTTTCAATAATTTGTGTTAATGTAGAGTATCATGGAGGTCATGTGGGTGAGAGAAGTAGGACCAGGACCAGCAGTTGGACCGAGAGCTGGAGCTTCCTTGATGCTAGCAACTTTGACCTGCCCTATAGATAAGGCATGAGTTCAAGGGCAGACATCAACACGTTGCCACTTCTCTCACGATTATTATTATTATTATTATTATTATTATTATTATTATTATTATTATTATTATTATTATTATTATATGAGTGGTAATGTTTGCAGGTAGTCATTTTGATGTGAGGGAAGGAAAGGTAGCTCCAGTTCCTGGGATTAGGAGCTCTTCCTCAACACATGACATGTTTTCCTTCAGTTTTGATCTCTCATCAATTACCTGAAGACCAAGCAATGTTTCCCTTACCTTTGAGAGAAACGTTGTGTGGAAAGGTCTATGTTATGAGTGTTAGGTGTTACCAAACTCAATATTTAGTGCGGATATGAATGATTTAAGTGGCAGTGAGGCGTGATAAAGCTCCAGGCAGGCGAAACATAACCTAAATAATAGAAATTTAGTGAGAGGGTTTAAATGCTTCAGGATTCCGTGTGCTGTTGGAGTGAACTCAGCTGTGGCAGTCATGTTGACTCTCCTCACTCATGCAGTAAAAACTGCATCATCGACACATGTGCAACACTTGGGTATTTTTATGGGCGAAACGTTTCGGTCATAAAGATACCCTAGTGTTCCACATGTGTTTTGGTAAGACTGTGAGATTTAGGAACTAGAGCTTTGTTTACTGACGTATGTGTTGTGGCAAGTCTGTGAGATTTAGCAATTAATGGACGGGTAAGATAAGATTTCGGTCGGATTTTTAACGCGGAGGGTTAGCCACCCAGGATAACCCAAGGACTGTCTAACTTATTTCCATTGGGGTCCTTAATCTTGTCCCCCAGGATGCGACCCACACCAGTCGACTAACACCCAGGTACCTATTTGCTGCTAGGTGAACAGGACAACAGGTGTAAGGAAACGTGTCGAAATGTTTCCACCCCGCCGGGAATCGAACCCGGGCCCTCCGTGTGTGAAGCGGGAGCTTTAGCCACCAGGCCACCGGGCCTAGGATTCCTTGTTGCATACGTGTGTTGGAAGACAACGTGTTTACCAAGTAAGTTAGTATAGGTATAGAGAGAGATTGTTTGCGAAAAGCTTTTACTGGGACGGAGTTTCGCTCATGGCAGAGCTTTATCAAGTCATGATGAAGTTCTTCAAAGCGAAACGTTGTTGTAGTTAAGACTTGTGCTGTATATTGTGTGATGAGTAAGACACAGGTATAACAGTTGGGTATCTTTATTGTTGAAACGTTTCGCCTACACAGTAGGCTTCTTCAGTCAAATACAGAGGCAGCAAGTGTAGTAGTGAAGTTGATGTAATCAGTCCATCAACCATGGAGAAATAGTATATGAGATGGTCAGTCCCTCAGCCTGGAGAAGACTTCAGAACTGAACTCTTCTCCAGGCTGAGGGACTGATCACCTCAAATACTATTTCTCCAAGGTTGATGGACTGATTACATCACCTTTACTTCCCTACTACACCTGGTGTCTCTGTGTTTGACTGAAGAAGTCTACTGTGTAGGCTAAACATTTCAACAGTATGTGTGTTTATATACGTAGCTGTCGGTATTATATCAGTACTTCCACTTACCGAGTTTGTCTTGAAGAGTTTCATTTTGGAGATTTTCTTAGTAGGGAAGTGTTTGAGAGAGTTGGATCTGCCAGTATCTAGCACCACAGCCGTTATGATGGACTCCATCATGGTGTGGAGGGCTCTCTTGCCCACACATCATAGGTCCGACCCACGTGAAGGCAGGGCTGCTCCACGGAAGGGACGGGGTACTTCCAGGGACGGAAGGAGAAGGGAGGACTGGAAAAAGCCAGCGAGGACATCAGAGTACCTGAGAGGACTGACGTGAAGACTTGGCTTTGAAGGAAGGTCTGGAAGAAGCTGGCGAGGACATCAAAGTCCCTATGATGATCAACGTGAAGACCGGCTTTGACGGAGGGTCTTTCGGTTAACTCCATGAAATTTGGGCCCACTGTCCCAAGGCCTCTTTTGTGAAAGAAACTCGGCCAGTCCATGCGCTGAATAACACACCTGGTATAAGGTATTGTGAAATTTTCAAACTGCAAATAATCCCAGCTGCTACACACACACACACACACACACACACACACACACACACACACACACACACACACACACACACACACACACATACTGCTTTACGATTTTATAAAACACTATATAAACCTTTCAAGAAATGGATGCGGGTGTTTTATCAGTTACAGGAAAATTCCCCTGAGGCAAGCCTCAAGGGGAAAAATTCCCCTGAGGCAAGCCTCAAGGGGAAAAATTCCCCTGAGGAAAGCCTCAAGGGGAAAAATTCCCCTGAGGAAAGCCTCAAGGGGAAAAATTCCCCTGAGGCAAGCCTCAAGGAGCAAAAAGACAGTCTTGCTTTCCCAGACGACCCTTCACTTGGTCTTAATTAAACAAGATGTAGTTAGAAAGGTTCTGATTATGTCTGGTCATAAATATGTCTGGTGGTCCTAGATATGTTGGTGGTCCTAGATATGTTGGTGGTCCTAGATATGTTGGTGGTCCTAGATATGTTGGTGGTCCTAGATATGTTGGTGGTCCTAGATATGTTGGTGGTCCTAGATATGTTGGTGGTTTCCTAGATATGTTGTGGGCCTAGATAAGGTGGTGGTCCTAGATATGTGGTGGTCCTAGATATGTTGGTGGTCCTAGATATGTTGGTGGTCCTAGATATGTTGGTGGTTCTAGATTTGTCTGGTGGTTAAATACTTCTGGTGGTCATAAATGTGTCTGGTGGTCCTAGACATGTCTTCAAATGCTAGACATTTCTCTCGGTGGGCGAAACGTGTCTCACAGAGTCCCAGGTGCTGCACGTGCGTCATATTCACTAACTGGTTTACGTTACACAACTTTGATTCAGTGGTATCAATGACAATGAATCTCTTTCTTTCCTTGATTCAGTGGTATCAATGACAATGAATCTCTTTTCTTTCCCTTGATTCGTGGTATCAAGACAATGAATCTCTTTCTTTCCTTGATTCAGTGGTATCAATGACAATGAATCTCTTTCTTTCCTTGATTCAGTGGTATCAATGACAATGAATCTCTTTCTTTTCCTTGATTCAGGGTTATCATATGACAATGAATCCTTCTTTCCTGATTCAGTGGTATCAATGACAATGAAATCTCTTTCTTTCCTTGTTCAGTGGTATCAATGACAATGAATCTCTTTCTTTCCTTGATTCAGTGGTATCAATGACAATGAATCTCTTTCTTTCCTTGATTCAGTGGTATCAATGACAATGAATCTCTTTCTTTCCTTGATTCAGTGGTATCAATGACAATGAATCTCTTTCTTTCCTTGATTCAGTGGTATCAATGACAATGAATCTCTTTCTTTCCTTGATTCAGTGGTATCAATGACAATGAATCTCTTTCTTTCCTTCTTCTCAGTTTAGATAAACATGTATAATGGTCAGAATTTATTATCATCAATTAATATTTTCTTGTTATATTAGTACCAGATAAAACAGATTTAGTTTTCAATTTACTTAATTATGGTCAACAAATACTTATATTCACGACTGTTTTTGTCTAAGTTAACAAATACATATTGTAAGTTACTTTATTAGTGCTAACAAACATGTTAGAGTAGTAGTTGATGGACTGAACACATCGACTCAAGGTTGAGGGACTGATTACCTCATTCTCCTCCTGTCCTTCAAGTTTCTCCTACGTATGGACTGATGAAGCCACTGTGTGGCGAAACGTTTCCTCAATAAAGATACCAAAGAGTTGCACATGTGTCTAATTTATCAACATGCTAGAGTAGCTTTATTGCTGATTTCAACGTTATTTTATTGAGTTTCCTAATATTTACTCAATAAAGATACAAGGGTTAATTGGGTTTGAATCCTGTCGACTACACGAGGGTCATTAAATCTTCATATCACATGACAAAAATCATTTTAATACCTAAAAGAGGTATTAAGGTCAATTATTAGTGTTTATTATGAAGGAAATTTAATTGGACTAATGGTTATAATCATAACGATCATTTTTAAAGAGATGGAGGGGTAAGCCAGTTGAAGGCCTCAGTCAGATGGCCAAAAGCTCCAGCTGTGGGTCATCATATGACTGAGACCCACGTCAGGATACACTTGTCCAGTTTATTGACAAACATTATACCTACCTAGATGAATGAAAAATCACAAAACACACTGGAATTCAGTATAATAAATGAGGAAATTCGGCATACCAAGTGTAACTCAGTATACGAATTAACAACGTGGATATACTGTATATTCATCGAGAGAAGTATACCTCTCAGTGTGTATACCAATAGATTTTCCTATGAAATCTATTGTAGAGATTAATGTATTTTTGATAATACATGTACAACAGTTAGGTATCTTTATTCCGTGACGTTATGCCTTCACTGTAGACAGAAGAGTATAGCAACAGTTAGGTATCTTGGTACAGAAAACACCTTTGACAAGTTGCAAGTGAAAAGGGATGGATTTGAGAGGGACGTTGCTATCTCAGTGATGACCTTCCTTCTACTAGTGAACTACACCTCACCTTCCGACAGTAGGTGCTTAAACTTCACACTGTTCCAGGCTGTGGAGCAAAACTCTTCTCCAGGCTGAGGGACTGACCACCTCAAAACTACGTCTTCAAAGGTGATAGACTGATTACATCGTCTTCACATCTCTACTGCTTCTGCTAAACTCTTCTGTACTCGACTGAAGAAGCCTACTGTGTAGGCGAAACGTTTCGGAATAAAAGTACCTAACTGTTGCACATGTGTCTTACTTATCAACTTGTCGGTATTATATACCATTATTATGAAGTGTTCTTGACTAGTTGTGTACATTGTCTTAGTGACCCTCGTGTATAGTGTATATGTTGTGTTAGTGACCCTCGTGTATAGTGTATATGTTGTGTTAATGACCCTCGTGTACAGTGTATAGACTGTCTGAATCACCATAGTGTACAGTGTATATACTGTCTGAATCACCATAGTGTACAGTGTATATACTGTCTGAATCACCATAGTGTACAGTGTATATACTGTCTGAATCACTCTCGTGTACGGTGTATATACTGTCTGAATCACACTCTCTGTATCGGTGTATATATACTGTCTGAATCAATTTTCCGAGTACAGGGTATAAATACTGTCTGAATCACTCTCGGTACAGTGTTATACTGTCTGAATTCACTCACTGTACGGTGGTATATACTGTCCTGACTCACTTTCGTGTCAGTGATATACTGTCTAATCACCCTCGTGTACAAGTGTAATACTGTCGAATCACCCTCGTGGGTACAGTGTTATATTGTCTGAATCACTCTCGTGTACGGTGTATAATACTGTCCTGAAATCACTCTCGTGTACATGTATATACTGTCTGAATCACCCTCGTGTACAGTGTATATACTGATCTGAATCACTTTCGTGGACAGTGTATATACTGTCTGATCACCCTCGTGTACAGTGTAATACTGTCTGAAAATCATACTCTTGTGTACGGGTATATACTGTCTGAATCACTCCGTGTACAGTGTAATATATGTCTGAATCCACCCTCTTTGTACGGTGTATATACTGTCCTGAATCACTACTTGTGTACGGTGTATATACTGTCCTGAATCACCCCTCGTGTACGGTGTATAAACGCCTGAATACCCTCCCCCCCATGTACAGTGTATATACTGTCTGAATCACCCTCGTGTACGGTGTATATACTGTCTGAATCACCCTCGTGTACAGTGTATATACTGTCTGAATCACCCTCGTGTACGGTGTATATACTGTCTGAATCACTTTCGTGTACGTGTATAATACTGTCTGAATCCTCTCGTGTACAGTGTATTAACTGTCTGAATCACTCGTGTACAGTGTAATATTACTGTCTGTATCACCCTCGTGTACGGTGTATATACTGTCTGAATCACTCCTCGTGTACAGTGTATATACTGTCTGAATCACTCTCGTGTACAGTGTATATACTGTCTGAATCACTCTCGTGTACAGTGTATATACTGTCTGAATCACTCTCGTGTACAGTGTATATACTGTCTGAATCACTCTCGTGTACAGTGTATATACTGTCTGAATCACTCTCGTGTACAGTGTATATACTGTCTGAATCACCCTCGTGTACAGTGTATATACTGTCTGAATCACCTTCGTTTAATGTCGTTTAAAAACAGACATTTTAATGTTGAAAGTACAAGTAAACCGCACCAACTTGTAAAATAAACTAGTTAAATTATCACCTACACACTATGATATCAATGTAGACTTTCCTTTAAGATACACCAGTCTTGAAAGTTTGAAGCCAATCAGAGAAGGAATTCTCAAGGCATCGCACGGGTTTATAAAATTGACCAAAGGCACCTGCGCAACTCAGTGAACCTTGCTCATTGTCAGTGAACCACCGATAAAAATTTGAAGGCTATCTAATGAGTCGTTGTCAAGTTATTAATGAAAGCCCAGGAAAGGGAAGATTTTTTAAATACAACAGCCACTTAATGTCTTGTGTGTGTGTGTGTGTGTGTGTGTGTGTGTGTGTGTGTGTGTGTGTGTGTGTGTGTGTGTGTGTGTGTGTGTGTGTGTGTACTCACCTACTCACCTAGTTGAGGTTGCGGGGGTCGAGTCCGAGCTCCTGGCCCCGCCTCTTCACTGATCGCTACTAGGTCACTCTCCCCGAGCCGTGAGCTTTATCATACCTCTGCTTAAAGCTATTATGGATCCTGCCTCCACTAACATCGCTTCCCAAACTATCCACTTACTGACTACTCTGTGGCTGAAGAAATACTTCCTAACATCCCTGTGATCATCTGTGTCTTTAGCTTCCAACTGTGTCCCCTTGTTACTGTGTCCAATCTCTGGAACATCCTGTCTTTGTCCACCTTGTCAATTCCCCTCAGTATTTTGTATGTCGTTATCATGTCCCC